TCTATCTATCTATCTATCTATCTATCTATCTATCTATCTATCTATCTATCTATCTATCTATCCCTCTATCTATCCATTCATCTATCCATCTATCTATCGATATATCCAGCTATCCATCTATCTATCTATCCATCTATCAATCCAAATTTTATTTTTTTCGAGTACACGCAGACAAAAATACATTCACGCGCACACTTACTCCCCAACGATAAAAGGGATCATATTAGCAGGACTAAAGACTGTATTATAACTAAGTAGGATTTCTAATTAAAATAAAATTAATAATTATCTATCTATCCACCTATCTCTATAAATGTTTGTTTTTGTTAGTATTTGTGTCTTGTATGGTATGTCCAGCTATTCTTGTTGCATTTGTAAAAATTGAATACCTCTCGAAAGGTGCTTTTCATGTGACGGACGAAGGCTTGGCCTGTTTTCACCGAACCGAAGGAGGACGCCCCTTGGACTTGGCAGCAATTTCAAGAGAGAGCTATCTTGGAATCTTTTCCTCTTCAACCCTCAGCCCTTCATCGGGTTATGCGACCTGGGCTGACGATACACACTCACAGGTTGTCACGGCCGGACTGAGGCCTTCTCGACGGGTGACATGACCGAACGAACTCCCGCGTCAAGTGGCTGTCCGTCAAGCCGAGTTGACAGCAGCCGCGACAAAGGCTTGGCAAAACGTCAGTCTTCGGCAACACAGACTCTACACTTCGACCTCGATACAGGCCGAAAACGGTCTCCTTGCCACCGGACAATGCACGCTGTGTCAGTGCAGATGCAGTTCTGACGTGACAGATTCTGTCAGATCGGCGCCATTCGTCTGGCCGACATGAGCTTAAACGAAACCGTCCAGCCTCTCTGTTCGGCCACGAAGCGATGCCACCACCACTCGAAGGCTCGCTCCACCTCCATCCGTTCGCGTCGGTCTCTCCGCTTGCATTTTCGTCGTCATTAGTTTCACTGTTATCGGTACTTTCTGATTAAGCACTCGGTCAGACCAGGTTGCCTGAGGTGATTTTGAGGACGGAAAGTTGAGATTTTCCCAGTCACATGCACTTGGCCTCGCCTCCCAAGAGGCCATCTCATCCCTGCTGGACTTCCGTCTCAAGCCCGCCTCATCGTCTCGCATCAGCGCCCCCAGCGAGACTCGAATCCGGCTCGTATGTATCCACTACTCAGTTCATCGTGAAAACAAGCACGCGCCGGCTATTGCAATTGACGTTGCTACTTATATTCGATATAAGTAGTTCTCGACAGCATAAGTAATTCCTGAATATGAACAAGGCCGCTTAAGTAGGCTTCACTTAGCTTTTATTCACGGACTACTGATTGTCTCGAGGTCTACTTATGCCGGAAATAAGTGGCGTCGTCAATCGGAATGACAAACAAATGTGATTTTTGCGAGAGACCTGACTCATCTTGAATGTCACCGGATCCGTGTAGTGGAAAGATACAGGTCGCCAGGATACTCACGATCCGGTACTGAATCCGACTGGGGTCAAAACAGCATCCCATTCATGCTGGAGGCGATAGGTGAAGCTGAACGGCACAGTTGGAGAAACTCTACTATCCATCCCGAAAATCTTATTCGACAATCTGATTTGCCTCCACACAAGACGAAGCTGATGAATGTTGTCCTCCCCATTCCGCGTGATCCACGGATCAGGGACCCTTCAGCTTCGAGAACTTATGCGAAGATCTTTGAAGTTTTATCTCCCTCTCTCTCTATCTCTCATTCTCGCTCTGTGCGCGCCTAAGGTGTGGTTGTATCGTGGGTCGCCCCAGACCTTAAAGGGGACTCGATGGAAGAAAACACACAAGTTTGGGACGACCGTCTGCCCTGAGGGGGATTGGTCTCCGAAGGGCTTCGGGAAACCTCGGATTCCAGCTATCGGGATATTCCCCCCTCTAAACCCTCAGAACCGGAGTACTATTTTGAGGACTGCCTTACCGGTCGTGGAATGAAGAAAAAGCCTGCTCCTTTTAGCTTTTTTGGGCTTATTGGGCCAGTTATCATTGTTCGTTTTTTAAATAGAGTCTCGAGACAATTTTCACATCATTTTACAAAGGCTTGTGACTAAAATTTCATTTCGTCCGCCCACGGGATGGGCTAGAGGACTATGCTCTCGCCTGATTGGCTGTCTGTGTCGACAAATAGGAACGCTGGCATACCAATAATAGCCTCGAGCTCAGCGACACCGATCTATACTTCTACTGAGCTTAACCAATGAATGCGGCCCGGTTTCGTTACTTTGTCGAGTTGTTAGGCTCGCTGTTTGGCTTTAGGTCATTGTTAATGTCATAGAGACCAGCAGGCTGGGGATACAGGAAAGAGGAAGATGCTCAAGATGCGAAATCTTGATTTAAATCGCTTTAGCTTGTCTCCAGACCTTCTTTGGTCCTCCTTCGAAGAGCCCATTCTGCCTAGCCCGGACAGATTTGGCTCTGCCATTGTGTACGACACGAAGTGAGGCTTGCTGTATCTCTTCAACATGTACTATTTGTTGCTCGCTTTGCTATGCTTCCAAGTGAAAGACATCCTAGAAATGGCAATATAATTAAAGGTTTATAAAGCAAGCAGCTACTGGTTGGCAGCCTTAAGCCTTCAGATGTTACATTTGCCTTTATGTAAGGCAAGCAGGGTTCTTCAAAGTTAAGCCTTAAAGAGGCAAAAATAAATGCTATCCTTTTTTACACAATCATTAAAGTAATGTTTTATAAATGTCAAATTATACAATACTTGAACTTCCAAGAGGTGTATAAAATAGGTAATAAAGCATCTTCATGATAAGCAAAAAAATATGTTTTATGGTATAAGGCGTAAATATGAATACACATACAAATATGTGTAGGAGATAAAACCTATTTGTGCTCAAACGCATCCCTCGATCCGGCTTTTGGAGTATCGCAGACACCGGCTATTCCGTTTTCTCTGGCGGGGTGTGGCTGGTTCAAAGAAGGATAGTTGGGTCTAATATCTACCTTTAGCCATTATGTAGCATGTTAAAAGGGAAATATGATATTTCAACTTGTTTAGAACGACCTATACTCTGAGCAGAGTCCGCTGTAATTTGCATAAGGAAAATGTTGACCGAGACAAGGAGGCCATTTCTATAGCTTTAATCAGATACCATTGCAACGAAATCACAATTGTAGTAATGGGAAATTGCTTGTTGTCAAGCCGAGCAAGCTTGACGCGTAAACTAAGAATGTGATGTTAAAAATCCGTAGTCTGGGCAACTCGACTTGAGTGGTAAGGGGTATCATTTTGAGATTGCCGCCAGACCTACCAAACTAGGTTGCACTTACTTCATAGTTTCAGGCTATTTACATAAATAAAGGAAAGGTCTTACATCATGAAGTGATTTTAATCGTTCTGGTATAAATGGAATCACTCCATTTTTTCTCTTTTTATGAAGTTAACATGAGTTTCTTAGATACCTTAATAGGTTAAATACTTGTGGTTTTAAGCTTCAGATGCGTTGTGTGCCATTCTTTTTACATGTCCTTTGTTGTGGAAAAAAGCATTACAAATATTTAACAATAATAAATGATATCTAATAACTAAATTTTAATTTCACATAAGGATGAAATTATTCAGACGATAAATTGGTATCCGATATGACAAGAGCATACTGTAGTTATGTTTCCGGAAATTTCTTTACTTAAGCACTCTTCCCAAATAGACACAGATGAGCCACTTCTCCTTTCAATACGATCAGACGGGTTCATTGAAGTCCAGAAAAGTCTAAAAGATTATATAAATTGATAAGTTTGCTTACCTTTGAGACACTTGTTAATCAAGCATCAGAATAGAAACATAGTGAAAAAACAATTGGTTATCATTCAAACAAAGCTTTTTAAACAAAGCTCTTTACATTATTTGCCATAATTAGTTAATTCCTCTAAGCGAATAAAGCAAATATACAATATTCATATAAAATCAAACGATTAAAA